GGCAGTCAGTGTGCAGCCCAAAGTGCCTCCCAGTGCCCCATTACCTTTCTCCTCAAATGAAATCTCCCTGTCCCAGAGTCCAGCCCCTTCCTCCTCGTCAGCATCTCTATCTCTCCCGCTCATTCCTCACGCAAAGTGAAACCCTTACCCAACAGGAACTGCTGTGGGCTTCCCTTTATTTTAGTATAAAACCACAGTTGTCGTAACTGCTCAGTCCATCCTGAGGGTCGTGCTGAAAATCAGGCAGTTTGATCAAGAGGAGTCCATGTCGTGGCTTTTGTACCGACTATGAAAAGGGCAGCCCTTCGGAAACCCTGCAGGCTGCTGGCTCAGGTCTGGCAGCTGCAGGACCAACAGTGCAGTCTCACCTACCCCAGCTGACTGCCACGGTATGCCCAGCTACACACCTTGTATCGGCAAGCATAAGAGGACTTTACAAACTGAAAAGTAGCCTCCCTAGGCAGTGTGTACAGCAGCCAAGGACAGTTCTACCCAGAACTGGGTTTCAGTGTAGGCTAACCAGATGGAACCATTACCTTTATGAGCCTATGTCAAGATGAGAAAGAAAGTCCTGTATTTAGTGGCACAGGCCTTTAATCCCAGCACTCAAGAAGCAGAGGCAGGTGGAGCTCTGAGTACAAGGCCAGCCTGGTCTACATAGTGAGTTTCTGGACAGCCAGGGCTACATAGGGAAATCAAAACAAGACAAAGCAAAACAACAGCAAAAAGATGAGGAAGAAAACAAACGAAGTCGTACAAAGTTTCTTTTTAATTACTTGATTGTAGGAAGTGCTCAATAAATGTTAGCTATTCTAGCCACCATCATCATGATCATCATCATTAAAGCATAGAAAATTGACTTTATGTTATTTTTATTCTAATATCAGCCCTGTCTTCTGGCCAGATTAGTCTTCTCTTTCTTTCTAACATAACAGCATCCATTGGCCTTTCGCTGTAACCCTTCTCAAACAGCACAGCACTAAGAGACTATTTAGGAACAATCGCTGATGATACCATGCTAACTTTTTTATTGTTTTTTTTTTTTTTTGAGCTATACATGTTTCTCTCCCCTCCCACGCTCCCCTCTCCCATGGTCCCCATGTTCCCAATTTACTCAGAAGAGATTGTCTTTTTCTACTTCCCATGTAAATTAGATCCATGTATGTCTCTCTTCAGGGTCCTCATTGTTGTCTGGGTTCTCTGGGATTGTGATTTATAAGCTACTTTTTGTTTTTGTTTTATGTTTAAAAAACACTTATGAATTAGTACATATGATATTTGTCTTTCTGGGTCTGGATTACCTCACTCAATATGTTTTCTAGATCCATTTATTTGCCTGCAAATTTCAAGATGTAATAATTTTTTTCTGATGTGTAGTACTCCATTGTGCAAATGTACCACATTTTTCTTATGCATTCTTTGGTCAAGGGACATTTAGGTTGTTTCCAGGTTCTGGTTATGACAAACAATGCTGCTAAGAACATAGTTGAGCACATGTCCTTGTGGTACGATTGAGCATCCTTTGAATATATACCCAAAGTGGTATTGCTGGATCTTGAGGAAGGTTGTTTCCTAATTTTATGAGAAATTGTCATACTGATATCCCAAGGGGCTATACCACTGTGTGTTCCCGGCCACGGGGGACAATACAGCCAAACAGCTTGTTTGTCAGAACCATAGCTGACTCTAGCTGGTTCTTCTGAAATTATGTGTATCTGAAATACACACACACACACACACACACACACACACACACACACACACTTACTTGGTCTAAACTTCAGCTCTCTTGAGAGCTAAAGAGCCCTGGGTTCTTGCTGCTGTTTATCGGGTCCTTCAACCAAAAGGAGAATGAGATCCACCTTTAGTCCTAGACAGCTTTTGGGTCGTTGTCTATAATCTTTTTAAATTAGCTTCTTACACACAGGGACAGTACATATACGTGTTCTCGCTCCCAACCTTGAAACCATGTATAGTGTTCTACATGTGTCTCAGGGGTTCAGTAAATCCTCTACCCACCTCTCAAAACCCTGATTGTGGTTGCTAAGGGAAATTACTGAAGGGTCAAGGATGTATCAGCTGACCTTGGAACATGTTTTAGTAAACTATGTGTTAAATGATTTAAGCAGACTACACATTCAATTAAAATTTTATTTCTTTCTTCAAACAACATGGTTATTGAGAACCTAGCAGGCCCTGAATCATGATGGGGACATTCTTTGGTTTCCATAGTAACAGCAATGCAGCCCCAGAATCTTAACACATTTCTCTGAATTAAAGCAAACAGGATTACAATTCTTACCCAAATATACAGGCCCAGACAGAATTATGATTGTTATGTAAGCTACAATTTCTACTTTTTAGCTATTATTCACTTTTAATTAGCAGGTTAGCTTACAGATAATTTTTTTTAAAAAAGCATGCCCTTTGTTAAAAATATATGAAGGACAGTGAAAGCAAAAAATAGAAATTCCTTATGCAGTTCAACATTTATTTTATTAGAATGAAATACAGTTTTATTATGACACAGGAAAGATTAAATAAGCCATTAGGGAGGAGAGAGGCTGGGTAGCCCCTCAAATTACAGGAGACAATGGTGGCATAAACATCTTGAAACTAAAACTTCTAACCACAATGCAACCATGTGAATATTTTCGCACTTTTTAATTTCAAAGCTATAATAAATGTAACAAGTCACTTGAACTGTCAAAAGAAGAATGGTTTTTACACCAAGAAAAACAAACACGTCTAGCTAAAACACTCTAAACATGTCTAGCTAAAGCACTCAGATTCCCAAGGAGCAGGCCACTCTGCCCAACCTGAGGCACCCTGATGTGGATGAGTGTGTTTTTAGGGTGTATGAGGTGGGGTACGGGATTACTGGTGGGACCTAGGTACATTAGGCCACTGGCATCCTTCTAGAGACTGACAAAGAAGACAAAGTGAACGCACTTCCATCCCTTCTGTTCCTGGGTAGGAAAGTGTTACCAGTGCAAAGACTGAGCTCTGGATTAAAACACCAGGAAAAGAATAAGAGGATTTAAAGAGGAGAGAGGACAAGTCGATACAACATGACAACTCTCAGAATCTGCCACATCAGAAACGGCAAGAGGGTGAGGGCTGGAGAGATGGCTCAACAGTTAGGAGCTCTGAGTTCTTTTCTGGAGGACCCAGGTTTGATTCCCAACTCACACGGCGGCTCACAGCTGTCTGTAACTCCAGTTCCAGGGCATGTGACACCCTCGCAGATATACATGCAGGCAAAACACCAATGCACGTAAAATAGAAATAAATAAATTAAAAAGGAAATGGCAAGAGAAGACATGGAGAAGACAGTTACTGTGGGTAAATCTGAGCTAATAACGCAGATCAATTACCTGCTATAGATTGGAAAGTACTAGCTTTGCCATATGGTTACGGACTACGGCTCATTACAATTTTCTCAGTAAACAACAGATGGCCTTCCTTAGATTCTAAGGCAATAATGGGTCTTCCCATTCTGGTTGTAGCACTAAACTTTTGCCAGTAGTTCATTAATGACATTCTATCGTGAACGGAAGCTCCGAGATCTTCCATGTGTTATTCTCTCTTCTCTGGAGGATGTTGGGTTCCACTTGCGGGAAAATGTTTCACTTTCACTGCGGCTCCCGTCACAGCCGCTCACTGATTCCACAGCTGTGAAATACTGCAAGTCTTCTCACTGGCAGAACTAATTTGTGTTCCTGTTGTAACCTTTTTGATTAAAAAGCAACGATGACTAGGGACAAGCCAGGGAGTAGGTGTTGATTAGTATTTTTCTGTCTTATTTTGTGATGATTCTCAACTCACATGTCCCAGCCTAAAGAACTATGAAACTGGAATTTCGAGGAGAGACAGACAGAGAGAGTGTGTGTGTGTTTCCACTGGGGCTCTGACGAATAGCCAGAATCAATAGCCCTCACTCTATTGATTGGAGAGTTGTGGAAGACTGAAGTTAGGGAGTCAAACTCTGTTGTAAACTAATGCTTACAAAGTATGGTCTTATCTGTTATGCCTGGGTCCTGAGCCCCCAAGAGACCACCAGGAGTCCAAGTTCGTATGCAGAAGCAAAGAGCCTTTATTGCAGGATCGAACTTGGGACCCCCCAATGGTTGGACCATGGGAGCCCTGGGCTTAGTTGAAGCAGGGTTTTTAAGGAGTAAAGGATGGGGGAGTAGGGGAATTCCCGATTCAGATGGGGTTAAACTCCCCATTGGGCAGGACTGAGGTAACAGAGTCCTGTCAAAGCGGGATTTGTATGGCGTTGCTGCAAGGAAATTGGCAACATATATACAAGTTAGGCAAGCTATCCTTGATGCTCTGGACCATCTAGTACTTGTTTATCTCAATTCTCATTTGTCCCCCATAGGGTACAAGTGTGTGGCTTTTCCTGGTCATTGTAATGGTGAGGCCTAGTCTCAGTATTGCTAGTTTGCAGCCTGTCATGGCTGCACTAATGTTAAGCTAAATATTTTGTGCAGTTTTCTGTCCGCTCCTGCTGCCAGCTTGAAGATTAGTAGAGGCACAGTCTTTGTTAAGCACCCCCTGACCACCACCACCACCACCACGGCTAAAGGCATAGAGAGGGTCAAGGAGCCAAAAGGGCTTCCATACACAGACACAGGAATGGTTTGTGTCCTGAGGGCAGTGACAAATAACAGGATCTGGCGGACACCCGCTGAGATCTCCAGGTTCTTGTGTCTCAGAGCAAGGAATTGGGAGGCAACCCAAGGAAAGGCTTAGAAGCCGAGCCCTTTCTAAAGCAGTTTCAGGAATAAAACCGGCTGTGCCTGAAGGAAAAGGCTAGACACCCAATGGCTTTGTACTCAGCACACGGTGACCTTCATAGGCCTCTGGCTTAGAGCAGACTCCCCGCCCCCCCCCCCCCCCCCCCCCCCCCCCCCCCCCGNCCCCCCCCCCCCCCCCCCCCCCCCCCCCCCCCGTTGGCCTCCGTGGGAGGTTTCAGAGCTGGTTTCTTTTATATGCTAATTCTGACCTCACTCTCCTCCTTTCTCTCCTGCAGCAGGGGTCTAAACCTTGCGGGAGGCTCTGGACTCAGGCTAAACAAGGTTCCCCTGTGGGCAGGTTGGCAGATGAAACAATTCCGCTGAGCAGAGCCCAAGTGCCTTGGTACAAAAGTTCCTGGGCCCAGAAAGGGCAGTAAGAATACAGACGACCCAGCAGAAACTCCATGTTTCACAGAGGAAAATGGAGTGAACACAGGTGTGGTAGGTCTCGCCTTTGACTCCGTGCCAGAGAAGCAGAGGCAGGTGGATCTCTGTGAGTTCCAGGCTAGCCTGATCTACATAGCAAGTTCTGGAATTCCAGGGATACCTAGAGAGACCCCATTGAGAAAAAAAAAAAGGAAGGAAGGACAAAGAAGCAATGCGGAAGGAAGGAAGGAAGGAAGGAAGGAAGGAAGGAAGGAAGGAAGGAAGGAAAGAAGGAAGGAAGGAAGGACAAAGAAGCAACGCAGCGTCTGTCTCATGCCAGACATGGGTCACATGTGTTCCTGAGCTTTTCAGGTTGGCTTTGTTGCTCTGCTCTTCACTGTTTATACCTTACACGGTGCTGTATAAGCACTTGTCCCTCAGGGAGCACGGTACAGTTTCTGACTAGCATATGGAAATGCATTTGCTTTATATTAAGCATTTTATAAGAGCCTAATTGTAATGTGTATCAGACATTGTGGTTCATGCAGCAGCAGCACCTGTGTGATATGTATATTCATCCACACAGTGTTCCTGTTCTTAGGAATCTTTTCTAACAGAGCCTCTCCACCGGCACAAAGGAATCCAATCAGGCCAGATTAAACCAAATTAAATGCCCCAAGTTTAACAGGCAGACTCCCTGGTGGCCGGGAGCATGGCAGGGGAAAGACAGAGGGAGCGCACACACAAACCCAGAACCACGTGTTCTTTGTTCCAGCGACCCTAAATACCCAGTGGGAGTGGCCCTGACCCTCCCCAGGGAGGGGTCAGCGCTTGGCAGGCTGGGAATTGGAGTCTAAGTGCTTGGCAGGATGGGGTGACACTTACATTCCAGACTCTTTGGATATAGGGGTGTGACAAGGAGCTGAGGTGATATTTATGACCAACATTTAGGCTGTCTTTGGATAAAGGGGCATTGGCTCAAATCTGACTTCTTCCTGTGGGCAAGGGGCGATGTGGGAGAGAGGAGAGCTGGGTGTTGGTTTACACTCTGGGAGAGGTGTGGCTGGGGCAGTATGTGGTTTGCTGTCATCCTGGGGTCCTTAGGCAGCTCCCCCCCCCTTGGGGAGAGGAAAAGGCAGGAGGCTAGGAGAAAAAAAATATTGCTATTATTGGCCCTGTGAAATGGGGCTAGCCATGGGATGAGACACAATAGCAGAAAAAAAAAAACAGATTTTAGTTGGCAGGTGTCCTTAATCCGGGAGAGTTGGTACCAATGGTGAAGTCCCAGGAGCTGGTGCAGGTCTTTGGCATTGTCTAGGGAGCACTTTGTAGGTTGGTCTTGGCCCAGGCAGCTGGAGTGACATAAAATATGCTTGAATCTGGCTGGGGTTAGCAAAAGTCTCTGGAGACTGTTGGTTTTTTACCAGACCTGATTTTGATACAGCAGTAGAATTTTTCCAGGAACCTGTAAGAGAACCGGAACAGATTTACATCTTGGTGTCATAGCAAAAGGCTATGGCTTTGGTTAAGACAATTAAAGTAAGGGAACCCTGGATTTTTTTTAAGATATACCTGAAACCTGTCAGGTACACCTGTCTGTATTTTAGCAGGAAACTTCATTAAATGTCATGGATGAAGTAATAAGTTAACAGTACCTAGGTTATCAAATGCCATTAGACAGATCTGGGAGGGATAAATGAGCAAAAATGAGACAGGTTTTTAGTTACGCAGGCAATCCCAAGTCCTCTCCTTAGTCCTTGGAGAACACCAGTCTTAGAAGCAGTGCTTGCCGTTAACTGCTGAGTACAAGAGGCCCAAAAGATTTTTCCTATGGGGGGAAGATTTAGTCTACCTGGCTTGGCAGGATGAGAAGATCAATTCCCAGGTGAAGCATCCAGAAAGCCAGAGAAGTAAAAGGCTGCTTTTGCTGTGTGAGTGGCTATGCCAAACCCAAAGGCAAGGCCTAGAGGCCAAAGGTCTTCCGTCTTCTTGGAGGAGCTATAGGGTGCTGCAGGAGGGGCATGTCTGTGTTAGAAGCTCTTGTTAAAATGTCATGCCCTCAGATCCAAAAAGGCACTTGAGAACCAGGTACCATTACCTGTTACTTTAAACTGGACATATAAGATAAATTTACATGTTTATTTTATCTAATTAATTACAGTTTATTAATGCTAGTGAATGTAAGAATGTTAAAAGGAATATTTTAATAAGTCAAAGAATCTTAAAACGAGCACACATGCACACAGAAACATTTATAAAGTTACAGAGACATACCGTGGCCACATCATTCTGACAGAAGAGACAAATAAAACATTTTTAGAAACCTGTGTTCACTGACCAACTTAAAATCCCGGCCGCAGCTAGGCCTCCACTGTCCTTGGCCAATGGAAAGGGGGTCAGGTTTAGATCCCTGAATGTGGAATGGGATGAGCCCCGCACCTATGGGCTCTAGCAGAACGGAAGTGGGGGTAGGACAAACTGCTGGCCTCGAATAAGCAAAGAGAAACAAAGCGGGGCGGGACAAACCTGGGAATATTTTTCTAGTGCGGGAAGGGCCAAGCTTGGAACAGAGTTGATTCTGGAAGCAGACAGCTGCCCCCTCCTCCCAACTTTGGTTGTCTGTTTTTAATATGGAATTTTAAGGAAGAACAGGAAGCCATTTCACACCAGTCTGGCTTTCTCTCCATCAGAAAAGTCCCCCCATTTTCAATTTCCTTGGTCATGAGGAGACTAAAATGAGAAAGAGAAGAGGAAAAAAGCTTTGCTGGAGAGAGGAGAAAAATGAAAAGCGATCAGCTAGGCAAATCCAGCCAGAAATCACAGCGTCAGCTGTAGGCAGAGACCACGGGGTGCCAGAGGCAGGACTCCTTGTATAACTTGCATCATGCCTAGTGCAGGGGCACCCCAGCTACCTGCAGCCCAGATCCAGTGGGTAGAATGTCTGGGCGTAGGGTTGAAGACAGGCGCTCATAGCCCATTTGTCATCCCTGCCCCTTCCCTGAGGCAGCTTCCTCTGCCGTTCTTCTGGCTTGCCATCTCCCTTAGCGATGGCCCAGAATGATGACAACCAGGTTAAATTCAAACGCTTTTGAGGTCCTCTGACTTCTCCGCCCTCCGTGCTTTCTGGAGTCCGACTCATTGATCCTCTGAGCAGTATGGTACCAAAGACCCCAGGTCCTCTAGGTCTGGATGGAGAGCCAGCCATCTCTGCCTTCAGTTCAATATCCCATCATCAACCCATCTCCAACCCTATAACCCGGGCTCCTAAAGAGTTATCAGGAAGTTTGAGATCACAAATCAGAAAACCTTGTACTTCGTGAAATCAAGGTGACACTGTTGCTAGTCCAAGTTTTAAAAATTACGACCTTCTGACCTCTTCCCAAAGGCTACAGATTGGAAAACAGTTTGTTTTTCCCCTCCTCTGAATTGCCAGGGGGAATTAGTGCCTGGGGCACAGAGAATTACTGTAGCTGGCAAAGATGTGCAGACGCTTGGGGGCTTAATTTCTTCCCCGTTTAGTACCATTTTTCAGAAGAACTCAAGAAATTGGGACATAATTTAGTTATCAACAGGAATCACAGTTCTCTCCTGCCATTGACTTTGGAAATCCTGTTGACTCTCGCAGTGTTACTGGCAAGGTGGGGAGGCTGAAACAGATGTGGGATTACAGTCGCCAAAGGCAGGCAAGCTTTCTGTTGATATTTAGCTCAGGGACTCTGGGTCTTCCACGGGAGCTCCGGAAGCTGGGTTTGCAGGGGAAGGTGGTAATAGCAGAGAGCCTGTTCCTTCCAGGCTGCAGCTAAATAGCGACCTCCACAAGAGGCCTTTCTTCTTCTGTGATTTAGATTCTAAGGCAGCAATTGTATCTGTAACATCTAAGCCCAGCATTTATTTTTAGCTTTTCCAGAAAAAAAGCTGTACTCATTCAACTTTGCCTGACAACGTAAGAGGGGGGGAAATGTTTTTTTTTTTTTTTTTTTTTTTTTAAAGTATAGATTTTAATTAGCTAAGCAATTTGCCTTTCTCTGAACCATCAAACCTTGGCATGCCAAAGGCAGAGAGCAAGAGGAAGTGGGACTCTGGTCAGATGCAGGGAGCAATGTCAAGGGCTTGCAGTAGGCAGCAGTTGCCAATAGTCTGGCTAGTAATTGTGTACTATTTTAGTGACCTATTAACAATGCTTAGCTTGGAAATAAAAATTGAGTGATTAAAGAAAAACTATCTGGCAGCCATTTTTAGAACATAGAGAGAAGGCATATTTTCACCTCTGCCTTCCTGAAGCAACTGGGATACACAGATGTTGACCTCTGAGTCAGGCCTGGGGCTTCTCTTGACCCCCACTCCCAGTAAAATGCTCCCTACCCGCCCCAGGGGATGTCTTGGCTGGAGAAAGTTGGCTGACTCCAAGTCCCTAGGCAGAAACACAGGGCCACCTTTTCCTGACAACTTAGAGAGGCATTTTCCACCCTGGGTTTAAAATGTCTTCAGAGCTCATCCTGGGTAGCTCACCTCCTTCTCACCCAGGATGAGGGGATCCTTGCGGAAGTTTCAGTTCAACCCACCAGCTCTGTCAGAAAATCCTGCCAAAGCTCCAGAGATCTGTCCTTACACGGATGGGCCTTCTCTTCAGAGCGGTACACATTCACTGAATGGTTCAAGAACTGCCTCCAAGCCTGGGCTGCTGCTTAATGGAGAAGGGAAAAAAAAGGATTTTTTTTCTTTTGATCATTTATGCACATATAAATCCATGAAATAGGGACTCTCGGATAAAAGCACTGGGCCCCTAAGGATGTTGAGAAGCCGTTATGCACAATACCGGAGTCTACCTCACGTTATCGCTATATGTTAATGTCTTTGAAAAGAAAGAAATGGCTTCCTCTGTGAGTCTGAAAAAGTCACCCAAAAGTACTAAAAGTATAAAGAGAAAAATTGCTCCTGCTCTCCTCCCTAGCAGTCTAGCTGCCCGTGAGTCACCGTGGAAGATTCCTGCCAATGGCAAGGCCAGCACCTTTCCCCATCACTCCATTTTTCCTAAGCAAAGTTGGCCTCTCTGCCCGTCAATCCACCTACTCACCTTCCAGGGTCCTTCCTCCGTGCATTGCATCTCAAGGACACTTTTCTTTTCCCAAGAGAAAAATTACTGTGGAAGACAATATTATCGGACTTAGGGTCACGGTGCGCGTGTCCCAACATGCTAGATTCAGTCACCTATCCTCAGCAAGCCGATTAAAACCGGCAATTAGTACCGCAAAGCAGAAATAGGAGATGTACCCAATGTGGTCACACTGAGAGGAGGGACAACATGATTTACCTTCAAACAGAAGCTAAGAGGTGGCGGCTAAGCAGTCAGGTCCCGAGGTAGCCCCGCCCACCATTGTCTCGGCTCAAGACGCACCTGAATGATTGGCAGACAAGTGTAGTAAATCTTTCTCCAGGAGAGGAGTTCCTGCTCTGGCTGCCCCTGGGCTTTTCCTCTACAGCAGGAGATTCCTAGGGAAAGTCAAACATCCTGGGTTCCATTGATTCAATAATCTAACAGCCAAGGAGAAGGGCATGAGTGTCTCCAGAGAATAGCCACTCCTGCCAAGCAGGCCATTTACAAGAGGACGTACATTAAGAGACACTAGTTTCATATATATTTTGGCTTTTTGAGACAGAATTTCTCTGTGTAGCCCTGGTTATTAAGTTGGGGGGCCTCATCGTAGCCCTTCCCCCGTCCATCTTTGGAAACCCCCTTCCCTGAGAGTTGCCTCAGTCCGAACTCCACCTCCCCAGGGAGTGTCAAGGAAGCCCACCAAATGGTGACCCCGAACCAGGGAAGGTCAAGACCACTCCCACAGGCTATTTAAACTGCCCCCAGAAAATAAACATGTGGTCTCCCTTCTTCCTCTCCTGTGGTCCTGTTGGCTTTCTGTTCCCCGACCCCTCATGTTTTTCCAAGGCCACCTGGGAATGCAGACATCCAATTAAACCTGGATATCTTCTAATTTGGTCTAATTTGGTCTGATTGGAATTATTTGCATTGGCAGAGAGGCTCACCTAAGAAATATTCCTAACACTGGTTGTCCTGGATCTCACCCTGTAGACCAGGCTGGCCTCAAACTCAAGAGCTTCGCCTGCCTCTGCCTCCCAAGTACTAGGGCTAAAGGAGTGCACCACCACTACCAGCCTGAACATTGACAGTTTTTTAATGTTATAACTTAAATTGGGGACTAGAGGCAAGGATTACAATCCCCTGTAGTCCAGTGTGCAGAGAATCCAGATTGTATTGCCGGACAACACTGAGCAACTACGACAGTCTCTACCTTAATTTAGGCTTTTTATTTAACTTACCACTTACGGAGCAGTTAATAGTTTATGATTTGAACTTTTTTGTTTGTTTTTTGTTTTTATTTTTGGAGACAAAGTTTCTCTTTGCTGCTTCAGCAATCCTAGAATTATCTCTGTAGACCTAGCTGGCCTTGAACTAAGAGATCCCTCTGCCTTTGCCTCATGGATTAAAGACGTGTACCACTCACTACCCGCCTGCTGTGATTTGAGCTTTTCTCACTCTTGTTCTGCCTCCCCAATTAAACACCTGGCAGAGGAATTATTTTAGTCTTCTCCACTACCACGTAGCACAAAATCACCTTCCTATATGAACAGCTGGTAGCCTTGTGCTCAAACAGGGCTTCCCCAATGTACAGTTAGTTACAGAAATACATTTTAAAGTGGTAATTCCCAGAGGACAGCTGGTCCCTGCCAGTCACTCTTTGATGTGAATGACTTCCAGAGAAAATTAGATACTCCAAGAAATAGAGCTGACTAAGAAAAACAGAAGTGCCACGGGGTTTGACATTTGTCTGGGTTTGGGAACAGGATCTCAGTGTGTAGCTCTGGCTGCCCTAGAATTTTATGTAGACTAGGTTGGCCTGGGACTCCCAGCACCCGCCTCTGCCTCACAAATGCTGGCCTTAAAGGTGTGTTCCACCATGCCCAGCTGTGCAACACGGGTCTTTGGGGACAAGCTGGGCCAAACTTACATCTTTCCTCCTGGGATTACAGGTGTGTGCCTTCATGCTAGACAGGAGCAATTTTTGAACCTGTGGGACTCTGGAGAAGGGTGGCCCATCTGCTATGGAAGGACTTGGGGATAATAGGTGTAGACATGGGGTGGGTGTGGATGTAGGTATGTCTAAGTCCAGGACAAAGAAGGGTGGGAGAGGAAATCCTCACTAATTCTGTGCCTTGGTCTGTGGCTGGATGCAGATCTCTTATTACCTCGTTAGTGTGAATGGATAATTTAGAACATGAGGGGCCGCTTGCTGCTGTGGCCCACATGTAAAGAGTACTTTTTATGTTTTTGAATGGTTGGAAAAAATAAAAGAAGAATAGTATTTCATGACATATATAAGAACTCTATGAAATTCAAATTCCAGTGTTTATAAAGATTTATTGAGACTGCTTCACTGTCTCATGTATGTCTTTCCAATGGCAGCTTTTGTGCTGTGATGGTAGACTTGAACAGTTTTATAAGAGATCTTATTATTTGTTAAGCCTAAAGTACTTATTATCTGCCCCTTCCAAGAAAATTCTGTCAACTCCTGCTTTATAGCAAAGATATTTGCTCTTTTTCAGCTGTATTACTTTCAGTTGAATGGCCTTCATAACAATCATAAATATTGCTCAACAAATAATACTTCCTCCCCTTCAGAATATTAAAGTGTAGAAATATTTAAGGAGCTGTTCATCCTTGGTTATTATACACAGAGAACAAAACTTCATGTCTAGCCATATAGTATTGTTAAATTACAGTGTACTGAAACAGTCGGTAGGCAGGGAATCCTTTATTGGTTCAATAGTATAATTTTTTGTGTCCCATCACAAAGTAAATTCATGTGTTGAAATCCTAACTCCCAAGATTATGGCCATGACAAGAGGGTGTTTTAGGGCAATCACAGAGTCACGAAGGGAGAGCTCTAATGAGAGGAATTAACTCTTGACAGGGCTCAGTGAGACAGCCAGCTCGTCTACTGGGTGAGCTCGTAGCAAGAATGCCCCATTTGTGAGCCAGAATCCAGGTTCTTACCAGACACCTTGAAGTCCTCAGACTCCAGAGAAATAAATGTCACAGTCTGTGGCATTTTGTTATAGAAACTCAGAAAAGCTAGAAGCAAGTGATACGGGGCTATTAACTCTCTTTGTGTGGTGTGGGCTCATCAAAAAGGGACCAACTAAAAATGTCTTCAAATATTTGCGATTAAATTCAGACTTGCTATACCCAAGAGGTATAAATGATCTTCCCCCCCTTCTTTTTGTGTCTGTACAGTTTCTAAATAAATTTTTATAAACAAATATTGACTTTTAAAAGTGGAATATATACATGTACATAGTGAAAAACTTTTCCCCTCTCATTTCAAAATCAGACGTTTTTTGTTTGTTTGTTTTTAATGGAGCAGCAGCTGCTAAGTTCTTACAGAGGACACAGTTGAGTTCCCAGCACCCACACTGGGTGATTCACAACCACATTCATTCCAGCTCCAGGGTATCTAACGCTTTCTTCAGGAATTCCCAGGCACTTCAAACACACCACACACACACACACACACACACACACACACACACACACGTAACTTAAAAGAAAAATAGAAGAAAACTGTAACATCTATGATATATATTTCATCCTGCTAGGAGACAGTGGAACACGGACATTGTCCCCAGCCTGCCCACTGGGCTTGAGAAAGGTCTGCAGGTCACTGGCGAGGTGATTTGGATGGCGTCAGTGCTTCTGTCTGTGCTGGCTTTTGTCTTCTTTCCAAGTTCTCAGATGAGGAAAACAACACTCCGCTTTTGCTTTTTCAAGCACTAAATAAGCTAACGCATGCAAAATAACCAATAACTCACCTAGTGGGGAGCAGATAAGCATGTCAAGGTATTGATTTACAGCATACTTCAGAGAAAAGTTTGGCTATAAAGATGTTCTATATTCTCCAGTAGCTTGTCTTGTGGAAAAGGCCATTAAAGTGAAATACACGAAGTGACGGGAGTGGAAGGTGAATGACGGATGGGGGACAGCCACAGGGGTGAGACGCCCGCTCTCCTGAAGATGAGGGTAGATGGAGTAGTTGGGAAGGGCATTCACCTAGTCATTTGGTCAGAAAGCTTCCATGACTTCTCACGTAGTTTGGGGACAGCTAGATTGCTGAGGGAAGGAGGGCACCAGCAGTCAGAATGTCCACATAGGTGTGATAGGAAGGATCTTTGGAGGAGAACTATCACCAAGTTCACAGTACAGCCAAGAGGTTTTCATACCTCTTATGTGGTAGCACGAGGAGCCCAAGATGCCTAGGGCACATTGACTCCACAGAGAGCTGGCGGGAAGGAGATTGCTTTGGGGGAGGTGTTGAAGGCAATCATGGTGTGTCCAACACATTTTCCAGCTCAAATAATTAGAATGATAAGGAATATTTTCCAGCTCAGGGCTAAGAAGAAAGAAAATTGTTACTAAAATACCTCTACAATAACTATGATTAGAGGAAATTATTGGATAGAATTGGATGAGGACTAAAAAGAGTAATTGAAAACATTTAGAAAGCTAAGAGAATAGATACGAAGAGTTTCAGAGAATGGGGGGGGGGAGTTAAGGTTCTGTAGCATATTGCACATCTTCAGCAGACACCAAGGCACATTCCCTAGGTAGGAGAGCGTCAAACAGAAGCCCTACAGTGTGCCATATTCTTTTAGACCCCTTTGTTCTTTATAATCTACAGAGAATGCTACCCTGAGAGTTCATATCCTCATGTCGTTCTACCAGAACCTCCCCAAAGCTAAATTCTCTTAATCTTTTCAACTATTTCTTTACACCATTCCTGGCACATGAATACAGTTCAGCCCTTGAGTCCATATTCTGGAAGTGTGGATGGCCCACATGAGCAGTGATCGCGAGCCACGTGAAGAGGAGGGTGAAAGTCAACCAAAAACACCCCTCCACCCCTGCCACCTATACAGCTACTACTTTCTCTAGGTTCCTTTGTACGTGTATTTCTTTACAAATATTCTTTGCATTGTGTTATTTACTCTAGTCCAGTTTTAGGATGGATTTATCTAGGCAACCATCACTACTACATCATGCAAAACAAATGTAATGTTCTTCTAATGCTTGATACAGACTTCATTTCTGAAGTACTTTGGGTCTGTATGTTGTCTTACCACAAACAGTACATTGTTCTACTTAAATATCACTCTTGAGGATGTGAAGGGAGGTTCTGTATCTTAAGTATTCAGTGCCGGTGGTGGTGGTGCACGC